TTTCCCTATGCTGGAACGCCTAATTTTGGTCAAAAGAACGCCTCATTTTGGTCAAAAGAATGCCTAATTTTGGTCAAAAGAACGCCTCATTTTGGTCAAAAGAATGCCTAATTTTGGTCAAAAGAATGCCTAATTTTGGTCAAAAGAACACCTAATTTTGGTCAAAAGAATGCCTAATTTTGCTCAAAAGAACGCCTAATTTTGGTCAAACGAAGAATTGCTGTTGGTTTATAAAAAACTTAGAGCCAACCAATGATGTTTGGAAGAGGACTACGTGTTCTCCAAGCCACCTTCTTGCTGTCCACGTGGTTTGGATGAAGAACCGGCCGGGGATGTTGTGCTGAAGGCCAGGACTATGAACCTTGGCTCTACCCAACCTCAACCGAGAAGGGCTAAACCTCCTCGTGCGCCCAAGATGATGCGTTGGCAGAAGAACACAGCGAGCTTTGCTCAGATCGTTCCCCTAGAAGGAAGATCTCAAGAGCTGCTTTAACGGCATAGCCTGGTTGGAGGGACAGAGGACACCGGGACGGTCCTTCACCCAACGATGGAAGAAGATGACGGGCTTTGTTGACGCAGGGGACAAGATTCAACCATCTCGCCTTGCTCTTCATCACCCAGTCATCCTCTAAGAACCAACCTGGTGTCTCCAGAGTTCGGACCTCCACCCGAGGAGGGGACAGACCTACTCTATGGCTACCTGCTCCTGCCCCAAGCCTACGCGGAGCTGGGAGGATCGATCCGGGTGGAGACAACCTTGAGATGACCCCTCATCCCCCCCCCCGAAACGCGCATCCAGCTGTGGCAACGCCAGCTGAGCCAAGAGAAGCTTCACGCCTCCTTCTCCCTCCCTGGGAAAGCGGGGTTGAGTTGGACAACTGGAAGACGGAGAACACTCAACAGCTGTCTCGGCAACATCTGCCAAGGGTGACCTCAGCCCTGCCAGACGTTTGGGCAGCGAGATGTACAGGCAGCTACGGACGTGCAAGACCTAACGCTTCTCACCAGCCAGTCCGGAGGAGAAAGGAGAAAACCAAAGCCAAGAAATTTAATTCGGCATCTCCAAGGTCTGGCCCACCGAGATCCTACAGCCGTGACGAAGGAAGAGCCGTGACACTCGTTGGCTTCGGCTCTGGCGTAACCTCGGCACGGAGGGGGCTGCAGGAAGGGAAAATTCACTCCTCTGGTTTTAATACGCAGGCCTAAACTGGGCCAAGCAGAGTTAGAGCTGAGCTTAAACTGCCTGCACGGGAATTCATCCTGTAGCTAAAAACTTAAAAAGACTTCTAAATCATGAATTAAGGTTTGATAACTAAAAAGGTAAAGGCTTATACCAAATTAAGGTTTGAGAACTAAAAAGTTAAGACTTCTAAATCAGGAATGAACGTTTCAAGGAGACACGCAGATGACTTGGCAGTCGCTTTTGAAACTTAAACAACTCCAATAACGAATTCATGTTTCAAGGGGCAACGCGGATGAATTTGCAGTCGCTCTTTAAAATGAAGCAATTTTGTGCTTAACAGAAGACTGATCTAGACAGGCGACTTCAGAAAAAAGGGGCCGTTATTTTAAAAAGAATCGAAAATGGGGTTGGTTTAAATCGAATCCCCTTGTTCCTGTGATTTACGCGCTCTGGGGCCATCTCCTGGGCTAAAAAAAAAAGGGCAGATTTATACAGTAATGGAAATTTTCTATAAAAAAAACCCCACGCGAGCGTTTCCCAAGAGCCCTTCTGGAAGGATGCCGGCTTCTTTATTTTTCCCAAACATCAGGATAACAGCGAGAGGAGAAGAAGAGAGACCGAACGTACCAGAAACCTACGGCCAAAATAAATCTGGCAGACATCTGAAGACTCTGCCTACGCACGTGCGGGGAGAAAACGGATCTTTTTTCTGCTTACTTTGATTGTGCTCAGATCCATGGGATGTTTAATGATATCGCAATAATCGTGCAGTCCCAGCGCCTCCACGTCCACGGGTTTGTAGAAGGGCCAGGCGTAGGCAGCGTGTTTCTTGGCGAACATCTCTTTGATGATCCCGCTGCAGTATTTTAACTGCTCGGATATTTTACTACTCTTTTCTACGTGTTGTTGAGAGTCTGGAACGTCCTTCTTTGGAGGTTTCACCGGGCGGCTGCTTTCCCGGCGCGGACCCAGTTTGGTGGACTTGGGTTCGGCGGGCAGCGATGACGATTCATGAATTGGGTCGATGGTCGTTGGCGTCGTGGTGTCTGCTTTCCTCTTCACCCCTTTTTTTGTCTATAACCGAGCAAAGAAAGCAATATTACTTTTGACATCATACTTTTGGCTTCAACCAAGTTGGGTTTCTTTAGCGTTGACTCGGATTTGCCGTCACCAGTGACTCGAGCCTCACGGCAACGCTACGAGAAGGACATTGGAAGCCTTTCCATAAATATTCAGATATTCTTGGTCTCTACTGAGCTCTACAGAAAAACATATGGATTATCTCCGCTGTACCGGCAAAGGTCAAGGGCATGAGTCACTTCAGCAAGTCAAGATTTTCTTCCTGAGTCATTGAAGGCTCAAGGAAGGAAGGTTTTAAGAGGATGAACGGGATTTTCCACACAAACCTGGGTGGAATTCATCCTATCTAACTTTAACTGGTGTCAGAGAGAGTCTTGTAGGCCCCTTGTCTTTCTCAAAACATGAATTTTTTTGACCAAAGCACGGCCACTCGCCTTCAAATGCGACTCCAGCGGCAAAACAAAGGGCGACCGCTTGGCCAACCGCGGCGTTTCTACGCCGCAAAGATAATTTAAAACCGTGGCGTTAAGATAATTAAGGAAACACTCACCTTCACGGGCTGGGCGGGTGTTGGGATAACGGGAGGGTGAGGCTGGATGGGCTGGGGAGCCGGGGCCGGCGGCACGGGGGCCTGGGGAGCAGGCGGAGGCGGCGCAGGAGGTTGAGGAGGCACCATCGTCATTACCGGGGTCTGGACGATGAGGTCGGGGGTGACGGAAGGAAAGGAATGAGTCGTCTGCGCGGATTGGAGGTTTTGCTGCGGCGCCTGCGTCTGCGCCGGGGACGATGCTTGGGTTGCGTTCGGTACCGTGGATGATCCTGGTTTGGATGTCACTGCCAAGAGAAAAGAAAGAAAGGGTTGCTTCTCCCTTAAACTGAAGTTGTTTTAACGGGAAAAACAATTAACATTTCGTAATAACCCTGTTTAAAGAACATTCCTCATCAGATAATTAGTATCTTGCAGTTCCCCGGTCTTGTGCAACCGGTCAGGGACAAACACTCGCCACATTTTCCTTCCTGAGGATTATTTTTACGGCTTTTTTTGTGAAAGAAGCTCAGGACCTAACTGTGCCAAAACCCCTCCAGAAAAAGACCACGATCAGGCCGAAGGCATCCTCCTCTCTTCCCCTTCCCTTCGCACAAGATTTCTTGCAGGCAGGGCCCAGAGATGAGCGTCTCTTTTCCTGCCTACCCTTTATTTCTAGGCAATCGTTCTTGACTATCATCATTTTGGAGCCAAAACTGGGCAACTCTTCCTCCAGGAGCAATTTTGTGCTCCGTTGGTAGAAAAGTTTCTTAATTCTTGGTGACTTCAAGAAGAGTTTCTTAATTCTTGGGGATTTAAGTCATCGCAGCTGCTACCACTCGAGGGCAATCTCACCCGACGGCTGGAGAGCGAGGTTCTCGTTGGGTGATTTCAAACATGGAGCAACCGTCGAGGTTGCGACACAAGGTGGGAAATGTCAGTGCCGTCCTCAGACCTTCTAGTGGCGCCGGGGATGTCACCTCCTCGCTGGAGCTGCTGTTGCTTTGGGTCCAAACTTTCCGGCGTGGTGAAACGCCCTCCGAACGGGAACGCCGCGAAGCTTGGATGACACTGGGACGTGCCACCAGCAGATCTTCAGCAAAGTGACATCAACTCCAAAGTCTGGAGAAGGTTTGGGATCAGCAGGTGTTACAGAAGCACCTTCACATACTTCGTTAGCACTAATTGGATCTTTATCTTACCACCCCCCGAGAAGAGGGAAATCCCACCGCTCCATCCGTACCCGTGCTCACCTCCTGGATTTCGGCTGCTATTTTACCTCTCTCTCAAGAAGGAGACTCTCCCGAGCCGACGCGTTAGCGCGTGTCCTGCCTTCTCGCCTTTCCGACACCTCTTCCAAGGATCGCTCCCGAAAAATAATTAATTAGAAACGAAACGCAGCTGCTTTGCTCCCAGCGGGTGCCCCGAAAAAACGTTGCGCGTTGAGAGACGCCAACCGCGACTCTGGAGCTCGTGGCCGCTGAGAACCCAACAGCGACTGGTTAAGAGAATAAAATTGGGAGTTTTCGTCCCGTCCTCCTTGCGAAGTGACAGCGGAGTGCTGATGGCTCGAAATCAGGCGGGGACTTGTAGCCAGAGGGATCCTGTGCTCCTACAGGAATCTTGTGGGTCCTGCTGGGATCCTGCTGGGATCCCGTGGGTCCTGCTGGGATCCTGAAGGTCCTGCTGGGATCCAGGGAACCTGCTGAGATCCTGTGGGTCTGGCTGGGATGCCATGGGTCCTGGTGGGATCCAGGGATCCTGCTGAGATCCTGTGAGTCCTGCTGGGATCCTGTGGATTCATCTCGGATCCTGCTGGGATCCTGTGGTCCTACTGGGATCCTGTGGGTCCTGCTGGGATTGCACGAGTCTGGCTGGGATCCTGCTGGGATCCCGTAAGTCCTGCTGGAACCCTGTGGGTCCAGCTAGGATCCCGTAGGTCCTGCTGGGATCCCGTCGGTCCTGCTGGGATCCCGTGGGTCTTGCTGGGATCCCATAATCCTGCCGGGATCCCATAATCCTGCCGGGATCCAGAAGCAGCTCTGCATCGCTAAGGCAAATCCGACACGTTTCGCCTCCCACAGGAGCTGGAGATTTCAATCAGAAACCTGCGGGGGGTTTCGCAGCAAAGCTTCCCAGCCAGCATCACACCTAGGTTTTAATAATTTAACCCCAAATTAGTTATTCTACACTAATTTAGCGCACAACGTGATTTAACAGGGGGCGTAGCAGACTGGAGGAAAAAAAGATCTTGCCGGTCCTCGAATAGATATTCTCTAAATATACAGTTATTACATTACGCTAACACAATATTCTGTATTTTATTCTAGACAGTAAATCACAACGCAGAAGCGCCGGGTGTGGGATGCCCCAGACATTTTGTAGTTTGGGAGTTTATAAGCGCCTCGCTACGCCCTGTAGGTAAAAACATCTTCTCTACGGGTGACTTCATCGCTTCTCCAATAATTTCCTAAACAAGGAGACGGTACGGGAATATCAGGGACAGTGTGTACAAAAATAACGATTCAAAATACAAATCTCGCTACCAGTAATCACGACTTGGTCAGGCACAGAAAAAAAATGTAAATTGGGTTTGTCGGTGCTTCAAAACTTGGATTTCATGGAGCTGAAAGCGAGATGGAGAGGAGGAGAACCGGAGCCGTGCAGGAAAAGGACGCGTGAACACAAGCACGGTCCTGTAACGGAGAGAGATGCGGAACTGCCAAGGGAAAAGAAAATAAAGCCAAAATAATTAAAACAGCTCGAGATGTTCGGCTTTACAACCCTTTTTCTGCCCTTCGGTGTTTTAGATGAACAGATTCTGAAAACAGTACGACGTCCCTCTACGCGGCAAGATGACGATTGTCCGTGATAAACTGGGGAAGACTCGGGGGATTCGGTCAAAATATTCCTGCTCTGAATTCGCCCTCGCTGGCCAGGCGATGGCAGAGCAGAAAGGTTTTCTCTCCCAACAGCTACCGAGGCCGTTCAACGCCAACTACCCATTTTTCTCTCTATTCCCCAAACAACCGGTCCCCAAACCCTTTGAGGGTCGACCCTCCCTGACCATCTCCCGCCTATTTTCCACTAAACCTCGGAAAATAACCCGTCAGGATCCCAGGCCGAGACAAGAAGCTCGGTGACGGCTCCTGCACACGGGATTTGCCTCGATATCGCACAGCGTTCGGGTTAAAAGGATGAGAATGAGACAAGATCGAGGTGAGAGACGTTTAAAATTAAGAAGGGGATGTCAAAACTAAAGTGGACGCGTCTGCCGAGACCAAATCACGGCCAAGGATGTTCTCAACCCTTTGATGAACGATCCGATGGCGTCGGCAGCCAACGTCGAGCCTGGGGAATGGTTTACATCCCCCCAAAAAACGAGCTAATGAAATCCTCGGGGTATAAATTGGAATCAGAAGATTATTTCACCTCTAGCAGCAGTCACATCTATCTCCAGTTATGGCGTCCACAGGTTTTGATGTGATAAACCGGAGAGGGTTCCCACCAGAGCTCTAAAGGAGAGCTAAAAGACTGGAAAAAAGAAAATTCCTTAGAGCGAAAGGATCCGATTCTTACGGAGAACGGATTTGAAAACGGGAGCCATAGAGTTCAGACCGCGCTCCTCCTCTGGAGTGTCAGATTTATTTTTTCACTCTCTACAGACCGTAAATAAATGAATCGGTGGTTGAACCGCGCTTTTGTATTACGTAGCAGAGAGAGGATTGGATTAAGTGAGGAAAACGGTAATTTGTCATCCTTTAAATTACCAATCTGGGAGCAAAGCTGCAAAAAAAAAGCCGACAAGTCTTGGGAGGGTCGGCAGACACAAACACAGAATGGCGTTTTAACAATTTATAACCCTAAATAAGGTTCAAAATGCTGCGGTTTAACTTTACGCAGAGCCTAAAGCGTGCAGGTTACTATTTCAGCCCTAAAAAAGAGCAAAACGAGGTAAATTAATCAGTCTGGCTGCAAAAAAAAAAGGAGTTTCTGGGATTCTGGCCGAGCACGGGTGAATTCCTCTTGGGGGAATGCCCGGGCGACGTATCCTTTCAAAGGACGGTAAGCTCGTCAAACATCGTTATCTATCCCCGATCATCGTAAAATTAATTAACGAGGTGCGGAAACGATAACGTGAGGAAGTCCTGCGGAGGACAGCGGTGGGTTGCGAGGCTCGTCGGTCGGTAGCCGTCACGTTGCGACCGGTTCCTCTAATGCAGTTTTTTGGCTGTGAAATTCGGAGAGGTTTGATACGACAGGAGAGGTTTGATTCCAGGAGAATATCCGGGGATATTCCATCACCTCAGCTGCCCGACAGCAGGAATTAAACAACTTCCGAGCGCTCTCGGCTTTTTACCTCGGCGGAAAAGCTGGCGACGACGACGTTTCAGCGGCACTAACGCTAGACGGTGCCGTATTTCCTGCAAAGTCTTGTCTCCGACGCTCCTCCTGCCCCAAAAACGATGCCCGGACGCCACCGACGAGGGGCTTTCGGACCTCACCGAGCCTTTCACCGCAGAGAGCCCGGGGCAGCCAGGGCACGAGGCACCCACCCTCCTTCCCACCCAATTTTAGACGCTCTACGCAATAAAGCGAGGCGCCGAGAACGCCAACGGGCAATCCCACGGAAGGACGGCTGGGTTTAATTAACACCCCGATTAAAGTCGGATAAAACCAGGACCGGGGCTCGCGGTCAAGACGCCGCGTGAAGTTGAGCGCGGCTCAAGCGGGAAGGCTGTAGGAGTTAAGCGAGCGGTCCGTACCTGCTTCCTTCCTCGCGCGTCCTCTTCCTTTCGTCTGGGCTATGACGATTTCCGTTTCCTCCTGGGTCATTTCGGAGATTTTCTGCAGGAAAAGCTTTTCTAGAGCTTCTGCCATTAAGACTATGTCATCCCCTGGCTGGAGGAAAAAGAAATACGATAAATTAGGCAAGACATATACAGAAATATATGGTTTTATATAAATATAGATATAAAATTTCTCTCTGGAGAGGATTTAAGTGTTTTCGCCCTCCTTAGCGTTGCTGTTTCCATTCCGGCGCAGCAGAAAGGCGCACGGGATATCGTCCCAAGCGCCAAACGCACGGAGAAATCCTCGCCCTAAACCCCTTTTATTTTATAGCTAAAACCAGGTGACGTCACTGAGGAGATGCAGCGGAGAATAAACCGACGCAGGGTGTTACCCGCCTGCGGCAAAGGCTGTTTGCTAGAGGGAAATGAGGGGAAAAAGTGGAAAAAAATTGAGCTGGGTTAACGGCAGCTGGTGTTTCCAGCACGAGAAATTCCCCCGACACGAGAAATCTCCGTAGAGCATCAGGGTAGGAGGTGGGAAGAGCTCGGCACGGGCTTGCAAGGAAACTTCCTCCCCGAAAAAGGAGGTTTTTAAGGAGGAAGGTGACGTTGGGATCCTTTAGATGACGAGAGACAAGAGCGAGGAAGGTTCAAACGCTGGTTTTTGCGGCTAATGATAAAATTTGGCCGAGAGGGAAGGGCAGGCAGCCACGGAACACGAGCGCGGATTGACGCGAAGACCCTGAACCAACGGCTGTCGCGGCACGGTGACGCCAAGAGAAGGCAGCTCCGGAGACGACACCAGAGGACGATTTTAACCGGCACGAGGACGGTTAAAACCGCGCTCGCAAACCTGCCCGGCTGATGGTCTGCGGGCTCGGTGAGGTCCACGGAGATGTCTCCTTAGCTCAGATGCTTTTCTGTCCTCCAGCCTGGAGAAAGATGGCAGAGGGAAGACCCCAGAATGCTGGCGGAGGACTTTTTAAGGCGTATCTAAATAATTTGAAGCCTTTAAGAGCCCACCCTGATTCCATGTTGCATCACGCTGGCTCAAACCACAAAGGGCAACGGCCAAGGAGATGGTTTGGAAGGACCAAAGCTGCCACCGCCTGTTTGTTTGGAACTGGAAAGGTCTTGTGCAATTTTTCTGAGAGGAGGAGGGGAAAAAAGGTCAAAGCACGCGAGGGTGAAGCCACGGGGACGGAGAGAAAAGGCCGGTGAGGAACGAGGAGGCAGAAACAGGACTGGGAACCCTCGGGCTCGGTCGGGGAAGAGGCTCTGACCACGTCTCACCAACTTTGAGGACCCTTCGTTTGCGGCCTTTTGCTCCTTAAGAAGCTAACGAGCGAGCGTCCGGCGCTCGGCGCAGCCTGGTACGGCCCCAAAAACCTTTCTCCAAGCTCCGCCACCACCCCCTCCCCGGATTCTGGCGGACGCCGTCCCACCGCCACCCTTTGGGGAAATGCCCCGGGACGCTCCTCATCCCTCCAGATATTCCTTCCTGCGCCCCAAGCGGTTGCACAACTGTTTATAAAACGGGTTTCAGGATGTTTCTCGTTGTCTGGAGAGGAATCTTCTGCGATGAGGTCACGGTCCGGCACGACAAACTCAACGCGCCGCTCCGTATATCCCTGGTTTGTTTTTTTTTTTCCCCCGCTACCAGATTTCAGAGTTTCAAACCAGCCTTAAGCCGACTTCTTAACAAAGCTACAGAAAATACAAAGCACAGATCTACTTCTCAATTATTTGTTTGATAAGTTCGTGGTTTTGCTCGAGTCAGACCCTAAAAATTTCCTTTTAGGACAAAAAAAAAAGAAGAAATAACGTCTAGACTGATGATATCTGCTAATAATTCTTCCGGGAGGGACGGCGGCTAAGCCAGCCCTGTCTGCGTCTTCCTTCCCGGCACAAAACGTGCCCGAGCTCCTGGTTTAATCCCGCTTATTTTCCTAAAGAAGCCGATCTTGGCGGTGGTTCCTTTTACGGATGAATTTCCGCACCGATCCAAAGAGGACGGGGAAGATTTCCCTTGGGGTAAAAAAAACTCGCGGATTTGGGGAACTTTTCGTACCTTATTGTAGATGTAGCAGTTTGTAAACATCGTGTTAAAATCCTGGATACATTCTTGAGCGTTCCAGTAGTAGTTATTCTCCAAGCGTTTCTTTATTGTTCCCATATCCATCGGAGTTTTAATTATCTTATAATAATCCTGCAAAGGGCAGAGAGGGAGACGTGAGAGTGAGAACGTTTTAACACGGCGACGCGAGAAGCGAGCAAATCAGATTTACTACAGCCCCTTAAACGCAGCCGGATTAACACAAAAGAAGGTGTTTCTATTTTTAGGCATAACGTTTAGAAAAATAATTTAAAAAAAAAAAAAAAAGGGTGGGAACGCCGTTGCTCTACAACTGACGTTCTCCACGTGCGACGGGGAGCTCGTTCCTACCATGAAGAAATTAAATAGCCTAACGCCGTATCTAAGAGATTAGATATTTAGAGTTGTTAGAGCTTAAAGGTAAAACAGATGAGGAAAGCGGGCGTTACGCAGAAAAATCTCTCTCTCGAGGGATGGAGGGAACAAACCTCTTCTGGTGGGAGCTGGAAGGGCCCAAACCAGACGCGCACAGCAGAGGATGTCGCTGTGATTTCCTGTGATAAATGATCTCTAAACGACGCTCGGATTTTTCCCGGTTCCTCGGGTTTTACTCTAACTCCCGGTGACGGCGCCCGGGTCGAGGCAGGGAGCGGGCGATGGGACGGGTCGGGGAGGTCACAGGAGAAGGCTTCCATGGACTTCACCAAGTCCAACCGTTACCCCGGCACTGCCTGGTCACTAAACAACGTCCCCAAGCGCCAGGTCTACGCGTCTTTTCAACACCTCCAGGGACGGTGACTCCACCGCTTCCCTGTTCCTGTGCTTGACGACCCTTTGGGTGAAGAAATCCTTCCTAATATCCAACCTAAACATCTCCTGAGGCCGTTTCCTCTCATCCTATTCCAGTTTCCCCATAAATCTTGTTCTCCCGACCCTTCCCCACTTCTTTGACCTTCTTTGAACACGCTCCAGGACCTCAACGTCCTTCTGGTAGCGAGGAGCCCAAACCTGAACCCAGAACTCGCGGTGCCGAGTACGGGGGTGGGGACGATCACTGGCCACGCTCTTGCTGATACGAGCCAGGACGCTGTTGGCCGGCTCCAGCCACTCTTCCTCACGCCTGTAGCGTTGCCCGGGGTCGTCATGACCCAAACGAGTTGAATTTCACGTGATTGCCCTTGGCCCATCGATCCAGACCCCCCGTTAGAGCCTTCCCACCCTCGAGCAGATCAACGCTCCCACCCAACGCGGCGTCCGCCGCCGACTTAGCGAGGACGCGCTCGATCCCCTCAATTTATTGCAAATTAATTTAAAATCGGCATCCCTAACAAAACGACTCGCCTGTCGCGGCAATGCGCGAGAAGCGCAGCGGCCGTTTGAGTACTCGGATGCTCCGTAAAAGGCTCCGAGTGTTTTCATCTCAAAAAAAAGACTCTGCTGATAAAGCAGCGGGGATCGAGCGAGGGTTTAAGCCAGGCACAGAAAAGCGCGCTGGGCTTTGGGGAGCAGTAAGGCAGAGCCTGAGTTGATGTGCCTAATTATCTTTGACACTTAATCATTTTTGGTGCTTAATTTTTGGTGCTTAATCATTTTTGGTGTCTAATTTTCGGTGCTTAATCGTTTTCGGTACTAAATTTTTGGCACTTAATCATTTCTGGTGCTTAATTTTTGGTGCTTAATCATTTTTGGTGTCTAATTTTTGGTGCTTAATCTTTTTTGGTGCTAAATTTTTGGCACTTAAGCATTTCTGGTGCTTAATTTTTGGTGCTTAATCATTTTCGGTGTCTAATTTTCGGTGCTTAATCGTTTCCGGTACTAAATTTTTGGCACTTAATCATTTCTGGTGCTTAATTTTTGGTGCTTAATCATTTTTGGTGTCTAATTTTCGGTGCTTAATCGTTTTCGGTACTAAATTTTTGGCACTTAATCATTTCTGGTGCTTAATTTTTGGTGCTTAATGATTTCTGGTGTTTCATTTTTGGTGCTTAATTTTTGGTACTTAATCATTTTTGGTGCTTGGCTGGGGGACAGAGGATTGCACACTCACCCTCCCCGACTCCCCAGATATTATTCCCACTTTCTTCTCCGCACCCCGACGGAAAGAGTTGGGTGGTAAAAGGCAAAGCAGTAGCTGAGCCGCTGGAAACTCACTGGAAATTCCTCCTCGCGTGTGTGTTTTAGATCACAGATCTTTTCGGTTGGAAAAGACCCTCAAGATCATCAAGCCCAACCGATAAAAGCGGATTCTGTGATTTCAGAAGGGCGGACGCGGGCGCCAGACCCCCAACGATCTCCCTCCTTCCACCGACAACCGTCGTGCGGTTTCTCCAGCTCTACTTACGGGGAGGTTCAGCTTGACGGCGTCCACGGGCTGCTGGAAAGGCCACGCAAACTGGTGCTTCCACAGCGTCTTCAGCACCACCTTGAGCAGATACTGCAGCTGGTTGGTCTGTCGCTTGGGTTTGTTGGGGTTGGAGGTCTCCGGCGGAGGGGGATTAACGCCTACGGCGCTGCCTTGTTGGGGTTGAGCCTGCGACTGCGTCGTAGACATTTGGGTGGTTTCTAGTCCGTCCCCCATTACCGGCAAATTTCTCAGTCTCGTTCCAGGGCCGCTCTCCGCCGACATGCTATTGATCCCATTGCATTCCTCACCGGACACCCTGCGGACAAGGAGAAAGGAGCTCGAGCTTTCGGTACGAGGCGCTGCTTAAAAATAAACCAGTAGATCTACACCGGACTAGCTCAGGCAACTAGACCCTTAGCGACAGCGTTGTGTTGCCCCAACAAATGATGTCAGCGTTCCGCATCCCGGGGTAAGAAAGGACATTCCGAGGGAATTTAGTGAGCAAGCGGGAGTTCTACCCCTGTTCTTGCTCCAACGTTCTCCATAAAGTACCTTCATTACCTCTAAACGAGGCTTCAGTACCAGGGTTGGGTTCACCAACACCGGGAAGAGAAGTTAAGTTGGCGTTGGCCAACTTTCACCTCCAGCTGAAGGAACGCAGGGTGACACACGTTTATCTCCTTTCAGCTTCTTGTTGTCAGCTCACCCCAATTTCAGGCCAAAATCTGTCTTTTAGGTGAACGTTGCGTTTCCGCGGGATGCTTCAGCTGAACGGACCCAATTCGCACTGTCTGCTTTCGGTAGATAATTTAGGGAGATCGTCTTTAGGTAGATCCATCTAGGTAGAGAATCCTTAGGTAGATCATCTTTAGGTAGCCAATAACTTTGGGTAGTTAATTTAGATAGATGATCTAGGTAGAAAATTTAGGTAGATCATCGTGAGGTAGATCATTTAGATGGATAATCTTTAGGTAGATCATCTTTAGGTAAAGAATCTTTAGGTAGATAATCTTTAGATAGTTAATTTAGATAGATTATCTTTAGGTAAAGAATCTTTAGGTAGATAATAACGTTAGGCAGTTAATTAAGGTAGATGATCTAGGTAGAAAATTTAGGTAGATCATCTTTAGGTAAAGAATCTTTAGATACGTAACTTTAGGTAGTTAATTTAGGTACATAACTTTAGGTAGATGATCTAGGTAGACAATCTTTAGGCAGGTAATTTTTATGTAGATAATCTTTAGTTAGAGAATCTGTAGATAGATAATCTAAGTAGACAATTTTTAGGTCACTAATTTAACTATCATTCTGAAGACCAGAAACTTGGGGGAAAAAAGACATTTCTGCCGAGCCCACGGACATCTCCCAGGGCGTATTTCAGAGCTCTCCAGAGATCGCACACAGCCCGTCCATCCTCTCAAGCCCCAGCTGCCTTGAGGGGTCACCACCACCCCACCGTGAACCCGCACCCTCATTGGGTGTGTGAGACCTTCCTCGTGTAAAGAAGCCCTCCGTGACGCACGTCCTTCGGCTAATTGAACGCCGAGCACGTGTAGCACGCGTTAAACTTAAGACACGTGGCTGTTAATTAGAGAAGAGCGCTATACATCGTGCGAGATGAATTAAGAGCCTCGTTATTCACCGACTCCCAGGGATACCCGGGGGAATATAGCGACCTATATGCTCACGACAAGCATCTGGCCGAGGATTTGGGGTTTTACTCTGATGCCGCGGAGCAGCCCCGTGTCTCGGGTCGTGGTCTGGACGCGCAGACATGGTCCCCGCAGCGAGGGACGAAGAGCCAGAGAGACGGAGCATCCGCGTGGCTTTACCTGCCACGTCCCTCCGCTGCTTCCGAGTCCCCGTAAAACCTCAGCTGGTCTTAAACCTCGGCTTAAAGTCTGCGGTCCGTCGCTTTTACTGGCCTAAACCCAACACCGACCCACTAATGCACCGGGGCGACGTCAGATTTTGGCCTTTAGATGGTGGGGTTTAATTTTTCAGGCCTCCAAGCGAGTTGAAGCGTCGCTTGAGCAGCAAGATCGCTGTGGCAGACTCCCTTGGCTCACCTGGGATGTTTTAAGGGAGATTTTATAGCTGTGGATACGGAAAGTATCCCGTTCCGAGAGCTGTTAACTCTACCTCCCAGCAGGGGAGATCTGACTCGAAACGTGACACAATTTGGAGACAATTTAGATTTCCCTCTCGCAAAATTCCCCTAATTTTGCTTTGGGGCAGTGCCGATTCCTCTAAGTTGCATATTAAAGGGAAATTCAAGTGCTAAACTGTTCTTAGCAAGCGGTGGCCGAGCAAAAGGAATCATCTTTACTCGCTGCAAGGGACTACGTTACCTTGTAGGATACATTGCCATATAATTTTGCCCCAGAAAATGATGCAGAGTCAGAAGTTGCTTGGCTTGTCCATCTATCTTCCGTGGCTTCAGGCACAAATGCCTTTAGATACCGTATCTGATGAAACAAAAAAAGCAATTAATCGGAGGCATCAACCCGAGGCATCGGAAACGAAGGCTACCTCCAGAAAATTCTCTATTTTTAACGTACGTCAAGAGCCCAGCAAAGCCGAGGAGACTACAGACACGTGCAAACACGGACACCTATGGAAAAACAAGGAATAGGCACCAGTATTTCAGGTTTTTTCCAGGCATTTTTCCACCTTTAGGGCAAGCTCCTTCCTGAAATTCATCATTTCAAGGGCTGCGGCCGACCAATTTCCTCCAGCTCCCTCTTAACACAATAGCTCTGCGAGCGCCGGCCGTAAGAGGAAGCCAAGGAGGAGTTTGGTTGGGTTTATTTTTTTTTTTTTAAAGAGAAGGGAAAATATTTCATCACCGGTTTAATTTCTTCCCGTTCCACTTCGAAGCAAAGCCTCTAACCACCCGACCGGGCAGTTAAGTGATTCTATCACATTTACCCGTTTATTTTCACTTATTTAGTTTATCTCTTCTCTTTTGCATTGTCTCCTCAATCCTACCAGCCTCCTCTTGCATTTCCAAACTCCGGTGACATTTTTTTACGGGATTAGCTGGAAATACATCAATTTACACCATTCTTCTCCTCTTCCCCCCCAATAAAAGGATGCTTTGACTCTCTCCCCTCACCCGGTGGTTACGTTACGGCTCCTCTTTTACGTTATCGCCCCACCCATGTGTCAAAATATCAGAAAAACCCCCCAGAAAGAGTCGATCAGCATCGCCCCAGCCTCATCTCTCGCCAGAAACACGGGAACCGCCGCTGCGTGCGCGCTCGGGATGTTCCCGGCTCCTGCCACGAAGCCGCCTCTTGTATCCCAGGAAAAAAAAACAAACAACAATTATTGGTATGGAGAAACTCATTCGGGGAGTTTAATGAAATCGGGTTTGGTGGCCCCTTAAAAATCAGCAGCAAAATGGGGATGAAGAGCTGGAGGATGGAGAACGTCAACCTAGATCTACCTGGACGGTGACGTCTCACCAATAAATCCGATCGATATTATAGATCGTGCTATAGACGCTGCGTTAGGGTTTTCTTAATCTAGAAGGGAAGCGCGACGTTTGGCTTTTTTTAATCTGATCTATATTATAGATTAGAAACCTCAGCTGTATTAGATTAGAAATCTAATCTATATTTTTGACGGGGCTGTAGATGGTGCTACGTTCGGGTTTTCTTAATTTCTCAGGATTAAGAAAACCCAAACGTAACACCGCCTTAAGATACAGATTAAGAAACCAATTACGACAAAGAAAATAATTAATCTACAGATTAAGAAACCCCAAACGTAGCACCGCCTCAAGATTCAGTGACCAGAAAGTCTTCGTTAACCTTACCGCTTAGAACCAGACCTTCTCCTTCGGCCCGAGACAATACATTTATTCACGGCGACATGGGAAAAATCAGGAAAAACGCTTATTTGATTACCGTGATTAATATTTACGCGCTTCGTTAGGTGAAGGTATAAGCGAGATGCGGAAGGAGGGACCTCGCTAGGGTGGTGTTTAGCGTAGAGAGGTTCAAGTTCACCGGGATGGCGCTCGGCCGGATCCACGTGGTTTTAATGTCGCCTGCCAAAATAAATCCTGGGGTTTATTTTCCTCGGGGAAGAGGCGGGAAGGGAAAGGGGTGTAATGCAGAGCGGAGCCGGCAGAGGGAACTGCCAGGCCAGGAGGAGCCCAACACCGGCAGGAAAACTTCTCCTTCCACCCCAAAGCTGAGCTAGGAGAGATGGGGGGGAAGCAGAGATGATATTGGGGGAAAAAAGTGGAGAAATGGGGCTGGAAAATTCATGACCCAGGGATATAAGACGGGCTGTCCCAGCACCAGACTCCGAAAAACATCCAAAGGAGGGAAAAAAAAAATAAATCTCCGAACGACTCGAGGAGGGCGGTGTAAGCAAGGAAACCATCCAAGATGCTGGTTTTTATTTGGGCAGAGGGATTATTTCAGACTGGTTTAAAAGGGCAGATGTTTTGAGATGGAACTAAGAGGCAGATCCATCGGCATGAACAGACCTGCCGGAAAAAAAAACTGCGTCGAAGACGAGTCTGCCACCCGCCTCGGAGGAGTGACCGAGATGCTCTGGAGTCTGACTATGAGAGTGGCCGAATTTGCAAGAAATTGCCCTAAATATCCCTCCTCTCTTGCCTGAGCCTGAACAAAAAGATTAATTTAATCTTTAAAAAAAACCCCAATCCTGAAAAATGAGCGTTATTAAGTAATAAAGTGATTTTGTAGGGTTTTTTGGTGACTTTGAGGTTATCTGCCTGTCCTGGACAGTGCCTTGAAGGTGACCTACTGAAGCAGAAAACAGATTTTTACTTTTAATTAGTGATTTTGAATTGGCGATGTTTAACGAAGAAAGTTAAACCCAACTATTTCTATCTCCCAGACCGTGGGTTACGGCAATATTTGTGATGCTGGATCCCTCTACAGCAACTTTACCGTAATTTCAAGAAAACAGAAATACTTAAATCCCCGTTTTTTGAAGACGCAGGAAGTTTAGGATGTCCAAGCCGGTACGGTCTCATCGGATCGCGGCACGCGGAGCTGCGTCGTCCCGCGGTTTGGGGCTGAACGTCCTTTTCCCCTTAATCCCTTCGCTCCCCGCGGTGCCCACCCCAAAAAATAAAGCCGGGAGGGTTTCTTTTGCAGAAGGAGGGAAGGGTGGGGATTTGGTTTGTAAAGGCAAAGCCAAGTCCCAAAATCCCAGAGGAGGGCGGTAGCGCAGGGAAAATGCAGAGCTACAGAACAGAAAACTGGAATTCCGGGGTTAAATTGCATCGTTATGGATCCCACCCCAGGATGTATTATCTAGAAAGAGCCTGGAAAAGGCAGCTAGGCTGGAAAATCCAGGGGCTGAAAAGAATAACTAACAAATTTGTGGTGGCCAGCACTCCCTTTAATTCTGACCCTGCTGAGCCAGGAGACGGGGATCAACGCTCGCAGCGACCATCCTGCGCCTTAAACGCACAAAAGGGAAGGGACAGAGGGGACGGCAACAGCTAACGGCGCGTCAAACCCTTCCGAACCTCCAAATTCTTCGTTTAAGACTTAATTAACAGCATTTTAGCTGATGCCTCCGGTGAATGCTGCTGAGAAAACACAGCAGCTTCCTCCTAACCAGAGATGTGGATGTTGCAGCTGATGTTAAAACTCCACCTGGAACCTTCCCGGTGTCTGGCGGGAATAATTTTTCACCAAAGCAACCTCGCTGCTTAAAATTTCATCTGAAAACACCCAAAAAAAGTTGTTTGCTTCCAGCTCCCATGTCATTTTTGTGTACGTACAGCACGACAGATACGGGAGAGGACTGAAGAGCAGCATTTGTTCCTCAAGACCTGCTCGGTTATCAGTTTAAAATGCCGTTTAAATCCCAGCTCAAAGAGTTTCTCTCTCCTCCGTACACCTCCTACGCCATCCTCGATTTCAGGAGCTGCATCCCGAGCCAGAAAATCCAGGCGAGGACAAATTCCCACCCCAAATTCACACAGGGCGGGCGTAAAGGAATTTTCCCCATCCCTGAAACTCAACAGCAACACGGGGATTCCCGCCGGCATCCCGGGAAAAGCGGCTTCGTCTCCAGCGAGCCGTCATGAAGCTGCATAAAAATCCCGGGGGGATAAATCGGCACAGCCATCCAAAATTCCCCTCCAGGATGACCCCAAATTAAGAATTATTGCTTCCACTTGGTGGTTTAATGAAGACAAAGACCCAAATGAGGAAAGGTTTTTGATATCCATGTATTTACATGCGAGCAGCGGGGATTAATAAGTTGGAAAATGAGGTAGTGTGGGTGGGTCTGGGCTGGAAAACACACTATTTTTTTATAGGATAAAGGAAAAATAAAGCCCTCAAAAATAAAAACCTGTTTCTCTTGGTGTTTTTCAAGTCCAGGCTCAGTTTTGCTGGAGGACACCTAAAATCAGCAGAAAACTACCCGCATGCGCAAGAACCACACCAACCAAAATATCTTTTATTAATTAAGAGACTGAGCAGGAAATTAATTTCCATCCATTATCGTTAATATCATTCAGGAATGGGATGGGAAAAGCCAAATAAGGAGGACACAGAGTTTGACCTCATCCACTCCGCTCCTGCGGAAACCGTAATTAAGACCCAGAGACTTTCACAAACACAAAAAAAAAAAATCCACTTTTTGCATCAAAACTGCTGTCAGAGCAAAATTAACCGAATATTTCAGGGTTTAGCTACCAGGATTATACAGCAACATGTAGTTTTTTTCTTAAAAAAAAAAAAAAAGGTATTCAGGAGCGTTTCTACAGTGCTGTGGATTTTTGAGTATCCGTCTTAACACCACTGAGTTAAATCTGATTTATCCAAGCCGTCGCGTCCCCAAATTCCAGGACGGAAACATCTATTGTGCCATTAAAACACGCCGGATGCCGCAGCGACTTAATCCAACCCGCGATAGGGTGGGTTTAACTAAACTCCATCAGGGACCGGACTTAGGACGAGGAAACGTATTTTACCCTAAATCAGACATCCACAGCTAGCGGAGTTGGGTGTTTGTTGTTTTTTTTTAGTGTGATTCTGCCTCAAACCCTTCCCCGAGTTGCGGGGGACGCGGTGGCACCGCAGATCTCGACGCTGTCGCCGTTCAGCGGCGATTTCAGCAAGAAACGGGAGGTTTCGTCCCGTGAAATGCGAGGTCGAGGGCTCGAGCTCGTCCGTAGCACGGCCACGTCCGCACCAGGCTCTTACAGAAACTCCCTCGGACCCGTCGAGCAACCACTCAGCTTCGCATTTTTTATTTCTTTATCCCTACCTGACCCGCCGGTGCAGTTTCCAGCGCAGAAATTACTTGGCCAAAATTAAATTAATTAATTTACATCCAGAGGAAGAGAATGAACAACCCTTACCCTGCAGCATCACTTCCCACCTTCGAGCAATTTGCATTTTCCTCTCCGCTTTTTTTTTTTTTTTTAAACATTCCCCGCAGAAACTGGACGGTGAA